GCGCCCGTAAGAAGAAAAACAGTAAAGAAAAACCTCAATAACTCCGCTCAGAGAATCGTTCTGCAAATTTGAAGACAGTTCTGAGTTCACGTGTCAAGATGAGTACAGTGATGTGCATCTCATTGCAAATGGCCAGGCTGACCTGTTGACCTTTCCTGGTAAGAATCAAAACCGCAAGACCTTTTTGTATAAGGCGCTTAACTTTCTTAGCTTCCATACCTCTTCTGCATTTTCGATGAGGTAGCCAAACTTTGAACCTTCCCCATCACCCGCCAAGTCTTAGCTGTATACCGTATATAAGCGTATACTTTTGGTAGCCAGGACCAGTTTCATACGTTGATAAGATTGGATGTATTAGGTTGGCTGGAGAGTTCTCTCATACTTTTTCGAACTCAAAATACTTGCCCATTACCTGGAAGAGGGGTGACCGGTAATGCAAGCAGATATGCAGCAGAGAATAATCTTTCTATCAGAACCACTCACATGACTTCAGCTTCTTTTCTTTTGCAATATTTACAAGGATGGCGCCCTACCACCGGCATCAACTCTTAGAGTTGCCTTCCCTTGACGCGAAAGCTGGCAAGGCTAAACTGAAGTAGCTTCATAAAGAAGATGCCCTCAATTATCGCACACCCTTCCACGACGCTAATGCCAAAGCGGAAGACGAAGTGAGCTTTGGATCCACATGTGAACTCAGCTTAAGGGAGTTGTGTGCCGTGAAACTGCTGAATGAAGAAGGTGCTTCCTCTAAAGAATCTTTACACAGAGCAGCTGCGATATCTGAAGTGAATAGTCCATCAGAGGAGAAAATTCGTCCGCAGAGTGTGCCTTCAGCATTACAATGCAGCCCAACCTGTCATAAGGAGATCAAACCAAAGCTCATGCAATAGAGCAGAATGGCTCTCCTCTCATCGGTGAAGTCCAACTATGGCTCCTTCTAACTGGTAGTTGCTTTCCGTAGTTGACCGTTAGATGGACGAGCAACCTCCACGACCCGAGCTCAAGTCAAAATGGAGATGATGCCAACTTTGAGTCGCCCAGATTTGCATTGGGAAGCGATGGCAACCAGAAGGTGCTTGCGAACTGGCAAGAACCCGACAACAGTAACACTGTGTATTTTCGATTGTATACATTCATAAAAAGAAAGCCCACTCTGAAAAAAATATGAAAGAAGTTTCTCGCCAACCTAACAGTCACTTAGACTTAGGTCCTCCCGTGCACATCGAGCGACGAATTCTTTCCACTGTTGTCAGTCTCGCGATTTCCTCGGCCTGGTCCCTAAAGCATTCATGATTCATGCGCAGTATGTATCCAGCCAGTCGAAGCCTACGCCGTGCCACAATCACGTGAAGGCTGCTCATACCGCACCGTCGTAGAACTTCTTCATTCGTGACCCGGTCCATGTATCGTATCTTCATGATTCGCCGAAGACATCGCTGGTGGATAGTGCTGTGGGAATAACGATGGACGATTGAAGTTTCATCTCAATGCTACGCGATATTGAGGACATTTTCCATATCGGCAGCAGTCGCCTGAACACAGCAGCTGCTTTTGCAAGACGAGCCCGGACATCCGCTTAGCATCACCAGTGTATGTGGCCACGCTAAAAAGGTAAGTGAACATGTCGACATTCTCTTCTCTTTTAGCGTTTGCATCCACCTGTTCGTTCATTTCTACGTGCATGACCTTCGACTTCTCAGCACTTATTCGCAAGCCAACCATGCTTGCTTCCTTACTGAGTCTCGTGGTGCTGTCTTGAAGTTTATCATTATCCTCAGCAATCAACGCAATGTCGTCGGCAAAGTCCAGATCTGTGAGACGGCCTTGGACAGGCCAATTGATGCCCGCTTCTGTGTTTCCCATCGCTCTTCTCATAACAAAGTCGAGGCATACATTGAACAGAATCGGAGACAGAATGCATCCCTGTCGTACTCCAGTGGCAATTTCAAAGAATGGTGTATAGCCGACATTCGTTCTAACACAGCACGAAGAGTTGAGATACAAGTTCCTGAAGATGCTGATATAGGGCGAAGGTACACCATATAACTTGAGGATGGCCCAAAGCGATTCGCGGTGTATGCTATCGAATGCTTTTTTGAAATCGACAAAATTTATGAAGAGAGGATGACGGAATTCCATGCACTGTTCGATTATGTTGCGTAAAGTGAAAATCTGTTCGCAACACGATCCTTCCGCTCCTGAATCCGGCTTGCTCCTCTCTCAGTCGCTCGTCGATGGCTCCGCGTAGTCGCCGCAGCAGTACCGTACAAAATACCTTTCCAGGCACAGACAGTAGCGAGATTCCCCTCCAGTTACCGCATTCTGTCAGGTCTCCTTTTTTGGGCAATTTGACGATGACTCCTTTTCTCCAGTCCTCCGGGACTTCTCTACGAGTCCAGCATTCATTGAACAGTCTCGTCAACACGTTTGCCATGGGTCTTCCTCCTGCTTTTATCAACTCTGGTGCGATTTCGTCAAGACCAGGTGCTTTTTTGTTCCGAAGACATTTGATTGCTTGTTCCGTTTCTTCAATTGTTATGGAGCTGACGTCAACGTCAAGCTCATCAGAGCCCCCATCTCTTTGAAACAATGTGCTTCCATTGTTCTCGGCTGGCTGAGTACATCGCGAAAGTGTTCGAGAAATCTCTCTCGTCCTCATCGCTCACCTGCCGTTGCTCTCCTTTATGGGCACGTTGGAGTTATTCGAGTCCCAGTCAGCTCACCAATAATGCGATAAAGAGTTCTTGAGTCTCCACGATCCGCCGCATGCTGGGCTTCAGCACCTTTCTGCGTGAGCCAATCCTTCTTGTCGCGGCGACAGAGCTTTTTCACCAGACGATCTAGCTCAGCGTATTTCCGACTCGCTTCCTGTAGTTCATGAAGAGTCTTGGCTTGTTCTTTTTGGAGCTTCGCGTGCTTCCTCTCGTCTATTTTCTGCCACGTCCTGTCTTGAATAAATTGCTCTTTCCGCTTCCCTCGTCTTCGACCAACTACTCCTCCGCACTTTCCACAATTTTTTCTCTGACTGCTTTCCATTTTTCTTCAATGCCATCCGATTCGACTTCTAGTGTGGCGAAACAATTCCGCAGCTCTACCTTAAATGCTGCAGCAATTGCAGGATTCTTCAGTCTTTCCACGTCAAAACCTCGGACAGTCTTTCTCTGCGGTTTCAGCTTAATTTTGACTGCGGCTCTCAACAAGTAATGGTCTGAGCCAATATCTGCACTGCGATATGCTCGAGCGTCCTGCAAAGGGCAAAGGCAAAGGATGCAAAGGCAAAGGATGATCTTCGTTTCTGGCATATATGATCAATCTCATTGATCGCCACTTCTGTCGGGAGAGCTCCATGTTTTCTTGTGAACCTCTCTATGTTGGAAGTAGGTGTTTCCAATACAAAGCTTGTGATCGCAGAATGACGCCAAACGTTCGCCGTTGTCGCTAAAACGCGTGGAAACGCAAACGGGCCAATCATTCCCTCGATTGTCGTTCGCTGTGGTCGAGTATGCCCGGTCAAGAATCGTGCCGTAATTACCCTCTCGCTTACTGGCTTATATCCGACCAAGGCGGTCCTTCTGCTTGGAACAAATCGAACTCGTTTTTCGTGCTTTTCTTCATGGCCGGAATACAACACTGTTTTGTTATCACTCGGCGGCCACTGTTCAGCCATCGTACCTCACTTATTCCGAGTATATCCAGTCGATACTTGTCGAATTCTCGAAGAAGTTGTGCGAGGTTGCCAGTTCGATATAACGTGCGCACATTCCAGGTACCAATAAAGTTTCGTTTTTGGGTGAGTAAACTTAGAACTTACTTAGAATCAGGGCATCCGTCACGAAGCATCAGATTTCGGACTAGTATCAGATTTTCTCGATTCAACAGCTTTAACAGCTTTATCCTTATTCGTCGTTTCTTTAGCAAGTGATTTTTACAGTGGAAGGGTTGCTAGCCCTTCGCACCAACCCTCCTCCTTTCTCATCCAGACTTGGGACCGGCAACGGTGGAGTTGACCTAATAATACTCCAGGCGTAATACTATTAGTTTTACAATTAAGCAGCTTGACGCTTCCTTCTGCCAGATTTTTGCTGTTCATGCAAAATTTTTATGCTCGAACTGTCGATTTTTGTTGTGATTTGTTGCATAGATTAACCTTTCCGATTTCTCTCGTTTTTCTTCTACTTTCACATGTTTAACGCATATTCTATTTTGACTGATGTTTGTGTAGTAGCTTTGTGGCAGGTTCTAGATGTCTAGTTAAGCCCCATCAGTGTGTAACGCGCAGACTCAGTATTGTGCGCAGCTCTAACGAGGTGAACTGTAGGACTATTAGGGAGCCTAGGACAGTCCCTTAGGGAGCGACACAGTGAGCGCAGAGGCTCGATGAGTATAGGGGATAAGGACCGCAAGCGTGGCCGCGTGGCATTGAAGTCGCTGGCGATATAGACTCCCATTCAACCTTCTCAAGTACTTGAAATGACGCGACCCCCCCCCCTGGCACCAATGCGCAGTACCCACAAGGGATATTTGAGGGGCTGCGTCGCGACACGAACCAAAACATTCCCAACGAAACCACAGCAGAATTCTGTGCCAAACACTTTTGCAATACTTCAGTTCTCAGGTTGCAACGCAGTGCTGTAATGCACATATACCTAGTGACGGGTCTGTTCCCCCTCCGTTTGATGCTGCAGGGCTTTGACAAGCTGCTATTTTTGAAACATGATGTCGCTGCAACATGTGATCTTTTCAGTAACCATTTTCCTGTTGCCTGCAGGAAGTACTAGATTCTGCTTCTTTCGGGCTTTAGCTCGTGCTCACTGAACTAGAATGGCAAACGTTCATGGGTCATGTGGTGCTTTCTTTTCAAGCTTTTTCAAATGTGTTTTGTTTCTGCAACCGAAAATGTACTTTTATACTAGAGAATTTCCTCGTCTGTCATGGCATAAAATTCTTAAAATTAGCAACGATACGAGGTTGTATCCACATTAGCAATGGTCAATAAAGATTTACAACATAAATACGTAACAATTGTGGTCCATGTTACCTTCGACGCAATACCTGAAAGTAAATGTTGATTTAGGCAATCAGTGACCATCAGACATTACTCATTACCTGTTGGAGTCGGCTTGATAGCTCACTGCTCCATCCACACAGACCACAGTGAATGCCTGTTTAGGATAAAGGGCCACAAGACCTTGATAGATTGCTGATTTCACAGCTGGCAGTTCCGTTTCGTTCATGTGCTGAATATGGTAATACTATTGGGCCGAAAAAATGCATGTGTGATCAGAGCGGCATTTTCCATGAATACAGTACTAGCTAGCAATGGTCTTGCAGTAAAGCCACCGAAAAGCTGTTTGAATGTGGCGCGATATAAGTAAACCACAAACCGATAATTTGACCTTTTAGAACCCTCAAAATCGAATTGTCACGTTTGAAGTCTGCGGCTTAATCGTGCGTAGCAGACAGATAGAGGACAGAGTCCGAAAATGCGCTAAAGGAGGTTAGCGTTCCTCCAAGTGGGACTCGTGGGTGAACGAGCCGTAAACCCGTACTTATGCATAAGAAAAAGGTGCTGGGTATGAGATAACGACGCTTATAGATCTCCGTGCGCAGGCAAAAACTACAATTGCTGCGGGCTCAAGCTTCATACCTGCACATGAAAGGACGTGGTCGCATACTTCTCGTGAACCCAGTGCAGCATGTGTTTTCGAAGGAATCTTTTCTTCTTAGGCAATGGTCATTTTGCCTTATACTGGTCAAAGGCATTACTACAGTGGTTCCAAAGTGGCAATACCCTGCAAAAAGCGCAGCCGCCACCACATTCAATGGAATGCGCACCCCCGCACTCGCCATCGCCGGGATCAGGGTACAGCATCGTTGTGTGAAACACATGGGGGGGTCGTACTTTTGCTCTGGGGAGGGGGTCGTATTTGGGGTAAGACAAATTTATTTTGATAGTTGATTTTTTCTTGTGGAAAAGGGGGTCGTATTAATTTTTTTTTATATGCACTATATGCACCCTGTACACCCGCCGGATATACGTTGCATAGTTATTGTATACCCCCCCCCCCCTCGACGACTTTTTCGCCGACTCATCGCTCGTCAGTCGGCGAAAGAGCCGGTTGATAGTTGATTTTTTCTTGTGGAAAAAGGGGGTCGTATTAATTTTTATTTTATATGCATTATATGCACCCCCCCCCTCCCCTCGTACTCACACCGACATTTCGCCTATCCCTATGCTGTACCCTGACCGGGATATGGGGTGTACATAGGTCTCCGATCATTACTGAAGCTTCCTATGTGACACGCTACTGATTTTTTGATTTATAGTCTGGATCAAAGTATCACGAGATTCTTGAACCCGTTTCCTTCCTTCACGAAGCCACTACTCACATCAGCATAAGGCTGCGTTCATTCTCTTGCGGTTGGGTACGCTGGAGTACGCTGCCGCAAAGTATGAACGCAGCTTAAACAGTAAGGAGTGGAAAGGGTGGTTTTGCGGTGGTGTGCTTACTAAATCCTGTAAGTTTAAACTAGTAGGTTGAAGGCACACACTCCTTATCCCTGAGACGGAGTAGGCATTTGAACACGGCACAGAGTGGGGTTACACGCGAGATATTCCAATTTCAGACAACTTTACTTGTTCTGTGATGGACAAAAACATGACTACAACAGTCCAAAATAAAAATATCTCAGGGAAACCTTCGCCACCGCTTAAATTCGGGCACGCGGCCGTGACTACGCATCGCAAGATTTTGAGCGTATTAGTGCTCTTTCCACTCTTCTTCATTCTTCTTACTTGTTTATTCTACCCTAGAAGAGGCGTTCTAGCAGTTTGGAAGAGCTTATGCGTATCATTGGCCAACACCGCTTTCAGTTTTTTCCGTTTATTTTTACTGTCAGACGTTCTTCCAGAATAAGAGAGATCGAGAATCCTGAATGAGCGCATGCATGTACTCCGACTTTACAACAGGAAGAAAAAACCTAGAAGTCACCAGTAATTGTGCAGCGCCCTGGAGTGGAATGTGGACAACGGAGAGGTTGTCCAGTTGGCTCCTACACTTCTGGAGAGCTTAGAGGACGGAAACCGTCCACAGCAACTGTCTTGCGAGTGGATTACGACTGGTCTACAGGAAGCCGGATGTCACCTAACTATACCAATCGCGAATGGAACTGTGAGCTCCACTCAAGCGACCACGGAAGAGTTCGGCCTTAGGGATTCTAACGAACGACAAATTAACTGCTAGCAAGAATCCCTAGTTCTCGTTCCTTGTGGCCTTGACACTGCGATATGCAAATGCTGCGTGTTCCACTCCACAAAACTCCCTTTGCTATGAAAAAACGGAGACCATCCCACGCTATGAACTACTCTTGTTTGTAGCAAATTTTGATTCATGGTTAAAGGTCTATTGATAGTTTCTCAGGCTGATATTATAGCTCACGAAGTAACTACTGTTAGCATTGGGGAACAAGTCGAACGACGGCACAAGACTTGCAGGTCTCAAAAATATTCTTTGTATAAAACTGTGTTAAAAGTCATCAGAATCTGGTACCTTTTTCATCAGCTCGCTGATTTCGACGCTGTTGCATTGGGCGTTGGGGACACCTTGCACGCCTACCGCTTTCTCAGCTTCCCCTTGAATGTGATTAATTTCACGCTTCTTTCTGCAATACGTGAAATACCATTAGGTTTATCTGAACTCTATATTTCATTTCATAATTTTGATGCCACTGAAGCTATTTCTCACAGTTTTTGAGCAATTTTCATTTCCCTAGTGCTACTACCTATACATAGCTTATCCCTGAGACGTAGTAGGCGTGGCACTTTGGACATGGCATAGGATGGGTTACTCGTGGGACAACTTGAGACGGCTGTCATCTTGCTCGATGTTGCTCACCATCAGAGGAATGACCACAATTGTCTCAAAATGAACGTGTCTCACCAGAAGCACAGCACCGCCACGTTCAGTTGAAGTACGCAGCCACGCCTACCACATCTCAGGGATTTCGGGTGTACTGTAGTTCGGTGCGGACGGTTGGGCGTGTCAGGCGGGATGAGTTTGGCGCGGTGCCAAACCCGTTCTCCACCAGTTGTTAAAGCGAGCAAATGATATGACTGTATCATATCGCCTGTATTATAGTGTAGTTCGCTGCGGACGGTTGGGCGTGTCAGTGCGGCTGCGTTTGGCGCGGTGCCAAACTCGTTCTCCACCAGTTGTTGAAGCGAGCAAGTGACAAGGATGTATCATATCGTTCGTATTACTCGTTTTCTACCACTTTTTGTCGCATGCGCGCTTCAACAAAACGGCAGAGAACGGCTTTGTTGCTGTGCACACTCATTCTGGCTGACACGCCCCACCGTCCGCAGCGAACTACAGTGTACTCGTTTTCTACCACTTTTTGTCGCATGCGCGCCTCTGCAAGAAGGCAGAGAACGGGGTGACGCAATCATACTGCCTGGCAGGCCCAACCGTGGACTAGAGTGTACTTACTCTCACATTATACGACAATGTTTGAAAGTTGACCAACAGTTGTATCGTTGAGAACAGGATGGGTACCGAGATTAAGCTATTATAGCAGCAGCAAACGTAGAAATCTAGCGCTGTCTATCAAGGACGAACAGCGCAATTAAGTAATTACGCTTTATGTCGCTTCTCTATAAGATATGCAATAGTGGCTTGGTGGTTTCGTTCAATATTTCTAGCGCCAGTGAGAGCCGAGCGAGACAGACGGCCAGCATTTTTGGAAAGGTCAGACGATTTATGCCGAGCTTGTCCTGGGGGGAGGGCAGTAGACTGACCCGGATGCAGGCTAGTCCTCGGAAATATATGTTAGATATGCAGCGACGAATTTCACATAAAAGACCGAAAATCAAAAATGTGTAGAATAGCGCTAAGTCCCAGTAACCATTTTTAGGTCCCGGTTCGAGATTGCAACTTGGTGCAGTTCGGCGACTGTGGGGGGGGGGAGTGGAGCAGGGACATTTTGCTTCCCATCGATGCGTTGACCTACCTAGATAGCCTTTTCTTGAGTTGACACGTTTACCCATGGTGGCTAGACGAGCTTGCTCCAGCTTCACAAGAGTTCACAAGTTTCACCAGAGTGAGACTTGTAAACCAGAAGTAGTGAAGCAGTAAAAGTGCGAAATGCTCCACCCGTCGCCGAAGTGCGCCCTGTAACTTCTTTACAGCTCTCACTTGAGCACAATTTTGGGCCACAAAGGTCCCGGTAGGCTGAACTGTTTGTGAGGTGAACATTGCACAAGCGCACCCTTGCAAGCGATGGCACGGACGCGGCATGCGGAACGGGACCCATGATTTGATGTGGATGCTACACTACGTCGAGCCAACTAGCTGGGAAAGACCTCATCGCAACGTGGATTTCTCGACCGAAATAATCTTTTTATCGCTTTCGATTCTTAGAGAGGAAAGCCACACATATGGCTTCAATGCTTTGGATCTGTCATCTGCCAATGCCGCACTTGTTCCATAAATAGGGAAAAATATATTTGATAATTGAACAAATTGGCCAGGAAGACGTACCAGCACTGTATTTCTTATACGCTTCGTCATGCACTTTATTTTTCGTTCTTTCTTCTTATTATTAATATTAGTATGTTATTTTCAAAAGAAACATTACGGTGAGTAGAAAGAAATTCTAACTGACCTCCCGAAACCGCCCCCACCACATCCGCCTCCGCCGCCGCAGCAACTGAAAATTCTTCGAATAGAACTTCTTTCGACCAGAATTTCATTTAAAAAGTGTATTTAAAATAGACCATGGTTGAGGTGGAGTGCAGCACATCGGTTGTGGCTGACAGCAGCAGCTGTAACAGGCGCAGTTTATCGACGAGGGGGGGGGGAGGGCATTTTGCTTTCCATAGATGTGTCGACCCATCTAGGTAGCGTTTTCTTGAGTTGACACGTTTTGGGATGGTGGCTAGACGATCCTGCTCCAGCTTTACAAGCGTTCACAAGTTTTACCAAAGTGAGATTTGCAAACCGGAGCAAGGGAAGCAGTGATAGTACAAAATGCCCCCCCCCGTCGATAAACAGCGCCGTTGTAACATTCTACAATTAGGCGATATCCCTCCCAAATACCACTTCCTATAGAACATCAAAGTAAATCGTTCGAACTCACCATGGTTGAGGTGGTGGACAGCAGCAGCTGAAACATTTCATGGTCAGACGATGTCTCTCCCAAACCTCTACCTCTCTCTTAAGGACATCAAAGTAAAACATTCAAGACTCACCATGGTTGAGGTGGTGGACAGCAGCAGCTGAAACATTTCATGGTCAGACGATGTCTCTCCCAAACCTCTACCTCTCTCTTAAGGACATCAAAGTAAAACATTCAAGACTCACCATGGTTGAGGTGGTGGACAGCAGCAGCTGAAACATTTCATGGTCAGACGATGTCTCTCCCAAACCTCTACCTCTCTCTTAAGGACATCAAAGTAAACTTTGTCCCTGCTGCTGGCTAACAGCAACCGCCCACGCGCCACCACTCATAGGATCAGTAATGGCGCTGAAAGTAGGAAGCATCCATCCAAGGACCGTCAAAAAGAAGGCCATCTCCGGTTCTGAAACACTTTTATTATATATATTTAATAATCACGTTTGAGTCTCCCACTCTAGCTTGTTCATAACCAGCTTCCTATGAAATCACCTTCTTTCGCTAACAAATGCCAACTCGGGGAGC